GGTGTGCTACCACCCAAGTACGAATGGAGATGCATATATTGCAAAGGACCCACATTCCTAAGGACGAGAAGAAAGAAGTACTGTGACAGCTTCCTCCTCCGTTGCAGACCCTGTAATAAAGAGTTGTTTCTGTTTAAAAATACATTCTTTTCTTATGAAAAGAAGGGTAAAAGCAGGTTTGCAATACCAGTTCAAAAGATAGTAAAGCTCATCTTTTGTTATTTTAAAGATCAGTCACATCGTGAGATGAAACTGAATTCAGGAATAACAAGAGATGAGACAATTGTCAATTGGACTAATTATGTTAGAGAAGTAACTCATTAGGTTATTACATCTAAACAAATAGGAGGTGAGGGGTATATAATTCAAGTAGATGAATCGTTATTTGGTGGTCATCGAAAGAATAATGTAGGAAGACTTCTTAAAATTGAACTCAAATCTCAACAAGAGAAATAATTATGGTGACAGAGTTCAAGGTCCTTGGGTGTTCGGGTTTATTGATGATAAAACTAGAGATGTTTACATTCAGATTTAAACAAGAGGGATGCAGAAACGCTCATTCCTATTTTAAAAGAGCGTGTACACTCCCAGTTTACCATTCATACTGACTGCTGGAAGGCTTATGGCAGGGTCAATGAAAACTTTAAAGAACACTTTACAGTGAATCATTCGAAGTTTTTTATTGACCCAGAGACCCAATGCCATACTCAATTAATTGAGAGTGTATGGGGGAAAGCTAAATTGTCTATTATGAGAAACAGAAGAGGGACTACATTGGAATTATTACAAAGTCATCTCTCTTTCTTCTCTTTCTACTATAGATGCAAGGGGGCTGACCCTTTTATTATTTTTATAAAATCACTAACTATGTTTAATAATTCAATTTTTAGACTATCTGAAGATGTGGATGATAATAGTGAAATTAATAAATAAAGTAAATTTTTATTTTTTTATAATTGGTTTTGATGTTTTAATAAAAAAACAATTTTATTTTTATAACATTTAAATATTTTCTTTA